TATTTACTCACTTTGAGATTGAGACTGAGTTTAAGAAACATAATTATTAAAATTCTCCATAACTTTATGTATTTTCATGGGAGGTGAGAAAAGTCATTAATTAATCTAACAGTTGATTTTGTGATCATAAAAGATAAAAGCCATTAAAATATAAAGATTTGGTTATCAAAGGCAACAATCCAGGAACTATTACCTGATTTTTTCCCCTTGACCTGCTGATTTTTCTGAGTTTCTCCTAACTACATTGACAATGAAATTACAGGGCATACCAGTGAGTCACTGAATATTCTTAGTTAGCTTTAAGTACTATGTGTAATCAGTCAACTTTTTGCAGTCCACCACATCTCACAACTGGCTGCTAAACAGAATTTTCCCAGAAGCTTTGTTATATCTGCATAGCCAAAAGCAAGACTTTTTCTTATGTTGTATATGTAGAAAAGAAGAGCAAAACTAAGTGAAATTGGGTTGGGAATGAAGAATGGTTATATGCAGAAAATATGTGAAAGGAAGTGCTGTATGTGTTAGAAGAAAATAATATAAACGTAATGGAAATCTGAAAAATGGTGGAATGAATCAGGAAAGGCTAATTTGACTACCTGTAAATCCTTTTTGCTAAAATAACAAAAAAGCATAAAAGAGCATTTTTTTAAAGATGCCTTAAATACTGACAGGTATTATTGAGACTCCTGACTACTAGGTGATTGGAGTGTATGAGAACAGCATCTGTAATTAAGGACAGGGGAAAATTGCATGTTTAAAGGCCAAAGCTACTCACCAGTTGGGGTCTGGCTGCAATGTTTTCTCCCGAGTTCCTACAGCCAGGTGTGTGTTTAGAGTTTGGGCCACATACCAAACTGCATGGCTCTGACTGTGCTGCTGTGATTATATCATCAGAGTCCTTACTATGATTACACTGGTAAAATAAAGGCCAAGCAGGGACAGCAGTGACTTTACATGAGATATTGCATCAAATATTAATGACCATGAGCAAGCAACGTTCAGTTTGCAAGCAGCAATGAATAGCAGATTTGTGTTGTGTGAGCAGTGTACATCGCCCCCAACAAAGTATAAATCTGTTCAAAATGGCCAGAGCAACAGAGAATTAGTGATGCTGGTGGGTTGGGGTTGTTTTTCAACCTATTACAACTGAGATATGCCTAACTACAGGGATGTGTTTAGCTAATTTTCTATATAAAACTTGTAGAAGGGGCTGATGATTATTTGTAATCAGGAAATTTAGTTACTCTTCTAGATATAACAAGATAAATACATTTCAAGAGCCATGAAAAGAGTATAGAAACCATTTTTGCCATTGTCTGCATCTAGATTGAATTTATTCTTTGAACATTGCATATCTGAATCGGATCCAAATTACTTATCTCTGAAAAACGTGGCTTACTTTGTAAAATTTCCCAAAGACAGCTGTACTTTTGAAGCAATTTTCTTTCTTATTCTTCTGCTCGAAGTGTTTTTGCAGACTGAGAAAGAATTTCATTTAAAAGCTCAAACAAGCTAGCAAAAATGTGTTACACTGAAGGAAATAGGACTTCAAGAATCGTAAGACTCCAAAGCACATACCTTGAGCTTTGGCTCTTTGCACACGATTAGCAGTGAACTTGCACTGTGTCAGCTCTTCCCTGATCTACTGATGTTAACATTTCAGAGGAACTCAAGGTAGAGCTAGAAACACCATCCTGGAAACAAGATCCACATGTTCATATTGACCAGCTCAACATCGTAGGCATTGACTTTAACCTTACTCTAAATCATACTTGTTTAAAACCATGTCAACACTGACATGACTTGGACAACTCTACCAGATCTGTGATTCCCTATGAAAAGTCTGCAGTGAGAATAGTGAGCTTTGGGCTGTGGATTTTGTAGAAAGTAAGGAACAGACAGAACCACAGGTTTTTTCTGGACACCTTTGGGTGGAAAATGATGTTTGTTCTGCTGTGATTGTTCCCAGAAAGAAGAATAGAAACTTGGAATCATAGAATCTTCAAGGTCAGAAGAGATCTCTAAGATCATCAAGTCCAACCACTCCAGAGAAACCCCTAAACCCTCAACCATGTCTTTTCCATAAGAAGAACCTGTTCAAGCTGGATCACATTTCTCAGATTCATTAACCTTTCTTTTTTCTTTTCTTTTGTTTTTCTTTTTTAAAGTATTTAATTCTCTCTATGGTTCCCATCTTTTTTAGAATTAAAAAAAAAAAAAAAAGAAAGAAATCCAGCAGGCCCCATTTTAATTATAACCCAACAATTTATTAATAGAACAGTAATGAAGTTTCTGAAATTTGATTTCTTAATCAGGGATCATTGTTATTTTTGTGCCAGATTTAAGAGTTTAATTTGGGGTACTTCTTCCCAACCTCTGAAATTTTAATCAGAAGTTTCAAGTGTACATGTCAATGAGAAGTTAAAGGCCAAATTTAATAACATTTTCCACCTTGGGAAATTAAAAGAAGAACCTCACTCTGAAATCCATTATTAACAGTAGATCTTAATTAAACACAGTTACGGTTCTCAATATTTGTCTGTGAAGAGATTGGTTTCAGTATTTTTCCCTTTTTTGGACTCAACAAGTCCAGAATATTCAATAGTCAGACTTTTAACTATGTGTAAATAAGTTGTTTACTGCATTGTGTTTGTAATTTTTAATTAAGGCAGTGTTGTTTTCTGGTTTCATGGCTTATCATGGCAATATATTTTTATTACTGACTGTGCTCTTGGATTTTAAATTATTTATGTAAATATATTGTTGCAGTATTTTTCCTCAGTAAGCAATGTGGCTCAATGCTTCAGAAATATCTTCACAAGGAAAGTTTATTATAGCTCTAAAGCATATCTAATTCATTAAGTAGAATTAAAATGCAGTATTTGAAGCTGGGGAACTTAGAAACAGAACCCAAACTGCGTTGAGTTACATGGGAACATGAAAGGCTGCCAAAAATATCTGAAGCAATATATGTAAACGAGGTATTTATTTGTGTCTCTGTGTGTATAATATTTCTATCTGCAGCTGAATCTAGCTGCCCCACAGAGTACAAGTGGCTTCTGGAACCATAAGGATTTTGACTTAGCGGCGAGGTCTCAGCTGTAGAGATTTGAAAGCCAATTTTTTGTGTGGAAGTTGACATCCTTTTATTTGATTCTGGTCTCCTCCTATCACCATATCATTAATCTAGTGGAATTACACAAATATGAAATCAGTAAATCCCCATTTGTTTGGGAGTTATCATTTCAGATTAGAGTAGCCTGTGCTGAATCCAACTCCACAGCTGCCTGATAGCCCCCAGGACATGGATTATCCTGGACATTTGACTGCTGTGGCATTGCCATTGCATTGACTGTGTGTTTCGAAGCTCTGCTAGTCTGGAAATGGGAGTAAAGTAATTTATCATTGTCAGCACTTCTAAATAACAGCTACTGGTCTGTCTGGAAGGGGAATAGACTGTTTCTCATAATATAAAGTGCATTTTTCTGTACTCAGAACTAAGTGTACATATTAATAA